ACTCATAAAATACCTTTCAATAGTCGCCCAAATCAACTGCAATGCATGGAAGTGGGTGGGTACAGCAAAAGAGAGCTCAAAGAATACTAAACTATCTTCAGAATAAGGAAAGAGAGAAGATACAGTGAATGAAGGAGGGATAAGGGCCATTTCGATCAAGCCCCTTGATCGAAATAGGAGAAAAGATGGTGAGACCCACATTTGCATCTATCAATCAATTGTAGGACACACATCGTGGACAAAAAGACCAACAAAAAATTCTGAAAAGCTGGATGCTCACTATTTCGGTCAAGCATATTTGGCTAAACAAATATGAAAAAGCCAAAGCAATCATCGGCTGCCATCAAATCAACTCCAAGTTATGGTTTGGTCATGAAATTTGACTAAAATATGTTTGCAAAATCTGGTCAACAAGAGTCAAATAAGTGCAAACCAGTATTTTGATCATATTTTTTGGCCAAAATATGAAGAAAACCTAAAAAAAAAAAAAAACCAACTCCGATCAAATCAAGTCAGCTGGTTTATTTCGTTGAAAATTCTTAACCTAAATTAATGTATTTTATTAAAGAAAACTTGGTTGGATTTTTTTGCTATTGTTTTAGTTAATCTACTTGAATGAATAAGGGTAGTCATGTGTTCGATCAATATGCTTGACCAAACAAGTCATGACGCTAATTCCTACCATTAAAATTTGGTCAAAATGTTGACCAAATTAGTTTTTAACCAAATTAATCATCAACTAAGGTTTTATACAAACAAAATGTGATTTCGGCCAATAAATATGCTCGAAATAGTTATTATTTCAGTTATGAGTTTTGCTTGACCAAAAAATTGGTCTGAAATAAGAAGTTTTCTAGTAGTGTAACCCAACCCCCACATTTCCTTTAATTTATATATAAACCTATAAGTTTATATAATTTGTACATAATAAAATAAAAAATCTTTTTATTTTATAATAATATTCAATTTATTTTTTTCTTTTTTAGTTTTACTGTGTTTCTCCATAATTCAACGAGCCGCCAAGGGAACTCAATACATAGGCTTTTAAAAATGGATGGTGATGTTTCACCAGCTAGCTAACAACTAGCAAAGAAACGTTTCCCCTTCTTCTTTTTTTTTTTATTTTTTTTATTTCAGCCTTCTACCAACCATGAGAGTTTTCTGCAAATCTATAAAGGTATTTCTTTAAAAAGCACTATTTATTTCTCATAATTTTAAATTTTTATTAAAGAAAAATTTTTAAATAATTTTTTAAGGTAAGTTTTAAAAAAGTTTTTAAAAAATTTAGATATTTAACTTTTTTTTAAATTTATTTAAAACCTACTTTAAAAACAAATTTTAAGTGTTTTTTTCTAAAAAAAATTTAAATTTATAAAAAATAATATTTTTAGAACAAATATTTTTTTAAACTTTACCAAACAAATATTTTTAAAACTTTTTTTATGGGAATAATTAATTTATTTTTAATCAAACAAATAGATATATACTTTTGATGAACATTAATCAAACAAAATAAGTGCAACCACAAACTCGTGTTTAACTGTTTATATTGCCAATTAACTGCTTATGATAATACTGAGCCGGAGGCCAGAAGCCAAGGGCTATACTATGGGCTCGTGTGGAGTTAAAAACCGAGAGCAGATATTGGGCCTCAATTTTTTACCGAACTCTTTTTTTGGGCCTTTTTTTTTTCAACCCCTTAAACAAGTCCGGAAATCCCAATCCATTAACCAACAAATAAAGTTCATTTAAAAATTAGAGAAAAAATAGGAATGCCATTTCCTTGTTCCTCTTAATTTTAGAAAAGATTTCTCATTGCGAGTGAGATTAAGAAAAGTATTCTTTCTCGCAAGGCAGGAACAGGGACGGCGACCAGCCATCTTTTCCTCAAAAATTCCGCAAATGGATCCCCATTTCTAACTTTTGTTGAGATGAGGACCGGCCATCTTGTCCTTGTCCTTGCCTTCCCCGCCGTCATCCTTGGAAAAACGCCAAAGGGTCCTAGACGCTAAGTGCCTGTTTTAGTATAGTGATTTTGCGGAGCAGTTAATAGTTTTATTTAAATTGTTAAATATAAGTATTTAATAAACTTATATATTTTGAAATCGTTACAAATAAAGTGTTTAATAAAATTTTTATTTAGCGGTTTGAAACTATTAGATAACGGTTAGGATTCAAACTGCTAATAAATTGAAAAAGTTAATTTATGTAGTCCTTTGTACCAAATCGCTAGTGGATTAGAATTTTTTAATTTTATAGATAAATTTATCTATTTTAATTTTTTAATTTTTAGTCACATTTTTTAATTAATATTTATCTAATAAATTTCAATTTTATTTTTTT